CAATAAAAAAATTATTAAGAACCCGATCTACCTTCAAATATTGAAAATTGGCAATAGCAGCGTAAAAACAGGTATTTCTATTTCAAACTTGATGTATGTTTTATAAATTTTCGTTTGGGATTTATAAAAAATATTGCGATTTTTTACAATTTCTACAAAACCGTGATTGATGTCAATATCATGAACTCATAGGAATATGATGATGATTATTTGTTCAAAGTTTAACCCCGGCCGATAAATATGAAATATGAATTATACAAGCAAGTTTTTATGAAACAAGAAGCTCTAAAGTGCCTGTGCCGCTCACCTTGGTCTATGTGCATATTCAATCCCGTTCCCTTTTCATGAAGTTGCCTACCGAATTAGACTATTTACCGGGTTTGTACTAACATGAGCAACACGACGGGTGCCACATGTGGAGCAGGATCTGCTTACCCTTCCGGATCACCTGAGATCACCCCAAGTTTTTGGTTGGGTTCGTGTTGCTTAGTCTTTAGTTTTCTATGTTGTGTTTTGTGTACTATTGTTTGTCTGTTTGTCTGTTTCTTTTTTAGCCATGGTGTTGTCAGTTTATTTTTGATTTATGAGTTTGAATGTCCCTCTGGTATCTTTCGCCCCTCTCTTCAACAAAGGACACTCTCTAACATTGTAGACGAGAATAGAATTCATGACAAAAATCTCTGTTTTGTTGATCTTTTATTGCTGATCATTTAGTCTGTTTAGTTTCTCTCTATCTTCTTTAATTTTTGCTCAAAACACAAAAGAGGGTAAAAATATCCTCATTTAAGGGCAATCACTCCTACAAAGAGTGACAGTCTACTAACTATATCGGCAAAAATTTACTTGTTAGTAGATCTTGCCTTGCTGATAATTTTTGTGATTTAAAGTATCTATTTATCTATTATAATTTGTATCATATAAGACAAAACGCAAAAAAAGGTAAAAATCGTCATTAAAGGGCAATAACTCCAATAAGGAGTCGTCGGACGATTTCCTTGATGAATACATCGGTCTTCTTTTAAATAAAGTGGTGATGAAATGAGATAAATATAGATTATTACATGGCATTTTTCATATCAGACCCTTTATCGGCCCTAGGTCATGATATCAGCCCAAGAGCCGCAGGCTCGAGGGCTGATATCATGAACGAGGGCCGATAAAGGGTCTGATATGATAAATGACATGTAATTATCTTTTTATCATATACTTCAACAGAAGAAATACAGACAAGAACTATTAATTAAAATTTTGTCTTTCCATGAATTTTAAGATAATAATTTACAGACAACCAAATACAAATTTCTTAACTTTAATTGTTTTTATTGATAGTACAAGCTTTTTATTTATCTTGTCACAACAATTATCATGTTCATAGTTTGAAATTTGCTCCTCAACCATTTTGTGAAAAGTCAGTCTTAAATCACTTGCGGTTTTCCGCACTGTGGTGTCGTTTTCAAACAAATTTCCGGAAATGCACGAAGTTGCATGTGATAAACGTCACGGAAATTAACGGAAAGGCATGTGATAACATTCCGGAAGCAGTCAATAAAGGTTCCTTTATCAGCCCGCTGAGGAAATTCTTAGGAATCTGATCAATAAACCTAGTAATCCTTTCATAGCCTTTTAATATTTTTAAATGTTATTGAACTGTAAAATTTTAGTAATATTTTATACAAGTATATGATAAAAAGAAAATATCAGGCTATCGCTATCAACATCGTTCAAATAATCAAATAAAGAAGCATTTGAATATTAACGTAAATTATAATAAGACAAATAAGGTCAATAAAACCATGTCCGACAAGAAACAGTGACCCAAAGAATTGTTGTAAGAAAAGGGGACAAAGACGACGCTAACTGACTTTTAAACTGTAATACTATATTTTTCCTTTCTTTGTTGTGCTTTCCAAAGTTTGCCCCTCCACTTTTTAATCTACTCTTGTATACACTGATTAATTGTTGATTGCTTAACGTCTAGTGGCAAGTATTTCATGCATACTCGGGACGAGTCATGGGTATTCCTAACAAACAATGATTTAATGCTGGCTGTCTAAGCTATACTGGCATTAATTATTCCATCTCATACTCCCCTAAGGGTTACTGGAGAATAGAAATATAGTCACCATTGGTCTTCCTCCGACAGGCAGTATAACCCTTGCCAAAGTGGGTCGTCCGTTTGGCTGTGCGGGATGCACAAGTTTGCAGCCACTTCCGTTCAGAATTAGAACGTTAAATCCGATGCCTCGTATTTAGAGAGTGCCAATCTCGCTGCACGTTAAGAACCCTTGCACCAACTCTTCGAGGGGTCCATAGGTGGCCTGTTGGAAAGAGATATATCTGTCCCTATCCAATATACCCTCATTTTCCCGTCGCAGTCCGCATTTTCCGACCTTCATCCTGGACGGCCTCTATTACAGAACCTACCTTTTGTATTTATTGTTAATTTGTTCTCGTCCTGAACATGCATGAAATATTTGCCACTGGACGTTAGGCAACCACTAAGAATAAGAATAATTTTGTCACACAAATTGCCTTTAGGAGTGTTTTATGTGTAGTTTATTGGATCAAAATGAATGTGGAAGAATATGACTTAAAATACCTCCCAAATAAAAAAACAAAAACACAAGCCAAACAACACATACAAACAAAAAACAACAACCAACGTACTGTCTTTGAGTATTACTAATTTTGCCTACATAAATGGGTCATACATTGATGAATTACAAATTCTAATGCGACATTTTATGTAACATGTTTTTATCATTAGCTCTAATTTACGCGTTGCCAGTAAAATGCATTTGCGATCGTCAAATCTCGAACTGTCAGAGGCAATTCTACAACTATTCCTTTATGACCACATAAAAAAAAACCTTTCTAACATTTTCTATTTGAATAACCCCGAAGATTATTTCAGAAAAACGATATAAAGCATCAAAAACGGTATGTTTAATTTTCAATTTGTATGCATACATTCTCTTCATTTATGTACCTTTGTAATTAAACTAATCAATATTTAAGGGGTTGGGGGAGATCTCAAAATGCTTATCGTTAATTTCAAAACATATTCATGTTACTGTTCCATGTCAGGAAACTTGTTAGTAGTTGCTGTTGTCATTTCTTCATGTTTTTTTTTAATAAGTTTTTTTTATGTGTATTTTTAGTTGTTGCAGATTTTTTTATGCTTTCTGTTAGAGCTTGACATACTGTGTAGACACATGTCTATTGTTGAAGACTGTATATTGCCCTCCAGCTGTTACTTTTGTCGTTGAGTTGTTGTGTCATTGATATGTATCCATCATCTTCTATCCAAAGACTTTTCAAGGGATAAATATACGATTAAAACATGAGCCCTAGTTTTTTCATCAGTATTCTCTTACTACTACCTGTATCCCACTTAAGAATTAGGTGGACAAAGTATGTTTTTTGGTAACGAACTTTCATAAAAATAAACTTATCCATTTCCGTAGATATTATACATTGGTAATTGTAATGTCTAGATAGAGGTCCGTGTTTTTCATTTTTTAAAGCACTGCTAACTGATGGAAAGGAATTTCCCGTTTTATTTGTTTCGATTTTTTCATGTACGGGTCTGTTAGAGCTGACTTTAAGGTAAAGGGTTTTCTCATTGTTGAAGGCCGTACGGTGACCTATATCTACTTTCATCTTCGTTATTTGAACTCTTGATGGTAGTTGTCTCATTGGCATTCAGACAGCATTTCCTTTTCTTTTTATATATACCTGTGCTCACATTAATATTGTTTACAACACGAATATTTACTGTATGATATCCATATTTGGTTGAATCGACATCGCTATACGTATGTTTGGATCGATGCAACATGTGTACCTGGGCGTTGACTAGTTGGATAGTTCCGCCATATTAACATGGGCGTGGACATGTTTGATATATCCAAATAAACCAATGCCGGTGTCCATGCAATTTATAAGATGTGGCAAACAATAATATATACAAACATACGATGCTTTTTACGAATGTACGTGTTATGTACTACAGTATTATCAAACTGGTTAAATGCATTCGTTTCATGCTTTAAAAATTACTTTATTTGAACCTTTTCATTTTTATGCCCCACCTATGATAGTAGAGTGGTATTATGTTTTTTGGTCTGTGAGTCCGTCCGTCCGTCCGTTCGTCCGTTTGTCCGTCTGTCCCGCTTCAGGTTAAAGTTTTAGATCAAGGTAGTTTTTGATGAAGTTGAAGTCCAATCAACTTGAAACTTAGTACACATGTTCCCTATGATAATTATTATGATCTTTCTAATTTTAATGCCAAATTAAAGTTTTGACCCCAATTTCACGGTCCACTGAACATAGAAAATGATAGTGCGAGTGGGGCATCAGTGTACTATCGACACATTCTTATTTTTAAACGTAATCGCACTGACATATAACATTTTTTAAAAGCCATTGAGATTTTGTTTAATCACTCGATCAAAACCTGGACGCACTCAAAAAACCCGGACTGCTCTCGAAAAGACGCGGACATATAAAAATGAATTTATTCTAAAAATGTCCCTTTTCAATGCAATAACAAGAATTTTTATAAAGTGTCTGTATATCTAAGAATATATAGATTCCAAATATACATTTCCTTTGACATTTGCATAGGTACTTGTATAAAAATAGCTTTATTCCATATTTTGGAATAAAAGCATATTGTAAAGCTAAATTAAACTTTTAGAACACAACATAAAGTAGGGGATTTCTTTTTATCACCTTTACTAACTTACCTTGTATGATCTTATATATTAAGTTTAAACATCTATATCACGTCTTACAAAAAAAAGAAGTCTGTTTGTTTACATTTTTTATCATATTCACTCGGAAAAAACTTGTTCAGACTCGAGAAAACTCAATCAAATTACATGAATAAACACGATCCCAGCCGGACACTATACATATTGTGTACTGTGTACTGTATAAATATTTGTCACCGGTAGTTTAACATTTATCTGTTTAGGTCATAGTTGTCAGACGAACCGAACATTTACAGGTAAATTGTTTATAGCAGAAGATACGCTTGGATTTTAAAAGAAGTAAGCATATAGAATTTAGGAAACTAAAAGCATGTTTTTGTAATATTTCTTACCTTTTATTTGAATCATATTAAGATTTCAAAAGTTTTACGATCGATCATGAAACATTTATCAAATATCAAAATTATATAAGTAAATATGTAAATATGAAATCCGATAACGGCGAGCACATCGTCCTGAGTGTTGTCGGAATGGCCTGGTTTTTGCATATACTTTATTGTGACCTTATGAAAAGGCCTTGAGATCAGTGTTCAAAAGTTGGATACAACCAAAGCAGGTAGATACAATATATATAGTAATGTCAATTAAAAAGATTTAGTACTTTAAATATCTTCAAAAGTCTATGCAAAATCGAACAAAATAAGTTTTTTGGAAATGTTTTGTCCTAATAAGGTGAATAAATATACTGACGGTTTAAAATATACAAGTAGATGCAAGAACGGGAGTCTTAAATATCAACTCTTCGGTTTTGAATTGACAATTATTATGGTCGCAACATCACTCGAGAGACATTACTCATTGAATTTTACATCTAGAGCAGGAAAACTGGTATAAGCACTTACTCAAAATTAAAGAATTAAAGAAAAATGTTTAGGCTCTCTTGAGTTATTTTAAAAGGGGGCATTTCTTCATGCAGCTTCAATTATTACCTTGCTGTTGAATACTGGCATTTATGTATAAAAATAAAGTACAGATGTCCGAACCAGTTAAAAATTTATATCCTTTACGTTGACTTTTCGGCTTTTACCCACAAAATTAGGACAATCGTTTTATTTAATGAAAACTATGTTTAAACACGCATCTCCGTTCTCCTGAATGTCTACACATCTATTGGTTAACAGGGGCGTAGCTAGGCCAACATGATGTGTACTCAATGCCGAAGGAGGAAGTCATACGGCAGGGGGTTTTGGGCAGAAGCTTTAGGGTAAATGGTGCAAAATCCTGCATTCTCGCAATTTCCTGGGACTTAAAATGACCTCACGGAAATCTTATTTTCATGAGTAATAAGTCAACTTTTGAAAATAAATAAAAAAAAAAATGATTAGAGATAAACAAACAAGTACTGTTGGCTTAGAAATTTGGTTTTTCAAATGTGTATCGGGTTGAGCTTCATTAGATTAGATAAAGAATAATATTCGTTGATAGTTAGTTAAGGTTAAAAAGGGGGGGGGGGGCTTGCATGGAAAAATCGTTAAATTCAAAGAAGGAATAACAATTTGCATGATAAACAATGTACGATAACGTATGCATATCAGAGGTTGGAAACCTTTAATTTGCCAGTATATATATATATATATATATATATACGTTTGAAGTCCCGAAATCTAAAAGGAAAAGCATCAAATTATTTCCTATTTCTTTTTATTAACTTCCAAAACGAGAGTCAATGTTACTAAGCACGAAAAACAAGCACTTTAAATCTCGAAGCATGTAAAATAAGCACATGTAACCTCGAGACACGTATAATTACATTGGGGGACACGTTGAACAGGTACATAATCACGATGCTGGTTCCGTAAATAAATGAGTAGTTTCAGGAACGGAATATAGCTACAAAGTGATTATTAACATGTTTGTATAATACTTTTTAATTTAGTTTATTACCTTAGTTTTATTCTTACTAGGTGTGCCATATTTTCGTTTTTGTAAAATTTTCAATGTGTACGCAACTGCGTTTTTGCATACGGGTTGCTACGCGCTTGGTTAACGTAGTGTGCCCTTTATAGATGTGCGGCAATATTTTGAGCAGGCATTCACAATTATGATGGAAAATTTTCAATAACGTTGCAGTAATGAAATTCTTTTTTTTTTTCATTTCAGCCTTGACATCAAAATGGAAAAAGATAAGAAAATTATAAAAGAAAAAAGAGCTTGGGTTAACAAACAGATTGGAGCTGCTGTGGTACTCACAACAGTAGTTTTTATAACTATATTTTATTACAGTCCATTCTCCGTTAAAGGTGTGAACACCACCGCTGATCGTTTGGTATTCACTTTCCGTTGTCTCTTCGTGTCATCTTTTCCCATTATATTCGGAATTCATACTGTAGGATCAGTCCGAGGAAGTACAAAAGCAATAGATCCTGTGAATGGAGGAGGAGAATCTTTGGTTGAAGTGCCAAACCGGATATTACGAAATACAGTGGAACAGTTCTTTCTTCATATGATCGGACTTTTGACTCTATCCACTTTTCTCGACGAGGGATCAATGAAAGTTATTCCAATACTGACATTTATTTTTATTCTTGGAAGGATTTTATTTTATTTTGGGTATACTTATGATCCAATATATAGAGGGCTAGGATTCGCCAGTACGTTTCTTCCAACAATGGCTACTTATGCATACTGTTCTTTCTGTATATTGCAGACACTCCTGATGTAATCGTTTCATGTGCATGCGTAACGTAACGAGAACGGAACGTTGAGATATCAAAACGAACACTACCGAATTTTCTAAAACCTTGAATATTTTTTCTTTGTGTGACAAATTAGTCCCAGTAATATCTATTTTATTTTCAACAATTTGATGATATATACAGAAAAAAATTCCTTGCACATAAATTTTGCCAAAAGAATTACATAATCTTCTTTACTGCATTTCCGGTTGACCAATTTTACTTGAATTTCATATTATAAGTTTGCAAGAAAACGACCTGGCAGATCTTTACTTGTATTTCATCATGTTAAGTTTATGGATTCGTGTTTCTTCTTCAACACACCAAGGTCTTTTATTGAACATTTGAAGGTCCCCAAATGTATTATCGGGCTACCTAAACTACACAAAAAAAGCCGTCACATATCGTTTCATCTTGGCTTCTATTAAGTGTTCTACAACTGATTAATCTTTCTGTCAATTTAACTAGTTCCCCGACTTCAAATTAAGAACCAGATTTTTTTTTTAAATCAAATGGTATTGAAAAAATATTACAAATCTAATTTCTACAACTCATATAAAGCTTTCTTCTGGAATTCAATAAGTGACACTCACTGGACTGTGATGCAAGGTTGAATCTTGGCAACCTCTTTGAATGTAAAATTAGGCCTTTGGTTTTCTCCAGGCTATTGTTTCACATATTGTATCAAGCCGAAGCCGTTTATGGCTTATTAAACAGTATTTGGCTTAATATTAGATGACTTATTTTTGCTTACATTATTGACCTTTGATCTCATGTGGAAAGTTTAACTGTCGCTCACCACATTTCTTTTATAATTACTGCTAGGTTATTCCAAACTTTCTCAATATTAATTGGAATGCGTTTTTTCGCACTTCTTTGATTATTCAATTTCTTCTGATAGTTTGTCAGGTTGGTTCCATGTTCTTGCTTTTATAATTTTATTGACAAATGTTCGAATATTTTGCTTAAGAGTATCGTAACAAAATGAACCATTACCCCTTTCCCTCCTAAAACTCGAATTCCTACCCTCCGTACCCAATCCAACCACTACCCCTAAATAAAAAAAAACTAACTAACTACAAAACATGGAATACGAACCAAACGCACAAAAAAATAATAATAAAAAAAAAGAACAAATGAATTAAGGCAAGTGGCTAAAAACAGATTCAGGGAAGTGGCCTTAAGTAAGTAAACAGGTTTAACAGTTACTTTTCTACAATATTTGGTAAAACAGATTTTCATTTCAAGTACACTCGAGATTATTGCTGAGTTGTATTTGAAGGCAAATGATTCATTTTCTGCTTTCAACATTTTATAGTTGTAATGATGAATTTCATCATTTTCTTTGTGAACAATTTATTTTTTACTGTTACTCCAAATCATGCTTAATAAATGCTTACATCATGATTTTGCTGCATGAGATTGATAGTGCAATTGATTATTGCTTTTAAATGGGTTTTCTGATCCTACATTGTAATTCCAATAACATTGTTTTCACACTGTAACTGTAGAATTGTAAATAAATACACAAATTAAAACTCATAATTGGTAACGATTTTAGTTAATTGAACTATTACATATAACTTTCGTGTTTGATTATGAAGCAAACATGAAATTATAGCTAAAGAAAACAGATATTATTATAGCTAGAAAAAACAGATAGTATTATAGCTGGAGAAAACAGATATTATTATAGCTAGAGAAAACAGATGGTATTATAGCTAGAGAAAACAGATATTATTATAAAAGTTAGAGAAAACAGATAGTATTATAACTAGAGAAAACAGATATTATTATAGCTAGAGAAAACAGATACTATTATAGCTAGAGAAAACAGATAGTACTATAGCTGGAGAAAACAGATATTATTATAGCTAGAGAAAACATATATCATTATAGCTAGAGAAAACAGATAGTATTATAGCTAGAGAAAACAGATATTATTATAGCTAGAGAAAACAGATATTATTATAGCTAGAGGAAACAGTTAGTATTATAGCTAGAGAAAACAGATATTATCATAGCTAGAGAAAACAGATAGTATTATAGCTAGAGAAAACAGATATTATTATGGCTAGAGAAAACAGATATTATTACAGCTAGAGAAAACAGATATTATCATAGCTAGAGAAAACAGATATTATTATTATAGCTAGAGAAACCATATATTATTATAGCTAGAGAAAACATATATTATTATAGCTAGAGAAAACAGATACTATTATAGCTAGATAAAACAGATAGTACTATAGCTGGAGAAAACAGATATTATTATAGCTAGAGAAAACATATATCATTATAGCTAGAGAAAACAGATAGTATTATAGCTAGAGAAAACAGATATTATTATAGCTAGAGCATACAGATTGTGTTTAAATGTGGACCAGGAGAAAATGGTGCATGATAGACAGTGGTGGTTTCTTTAATTGCACAGAAATCAACCGTGTTTGAGATTACCAAACTGATTCAATTAAACAGCTCAATTAATGCTTTTCTTTCCAGCTGCTACATCCAGAAAATTACCATTTATAATGAACCTTAAATTAGACCCTTAAATTTGTCATGTATATAACTTTCTGAAACACCCATCAGAATTCAAAATATTGAGGATTCTAAATAGTTGTATCGCTAACCTGACACCTATGCATCATACATAACTAGGCGTGGTTTCTATGACACCGTAGAGCCAATCAGATAAAAAAAACAGGCGTATCCACATTGAAAAAGTATAATCTCCATTGCGAGGCTGATTTGTACAATTATAAACAGAACAAGACAACCTTGCGATCATTTCGGCTTAGTTTGCTTTAATTGGCCTGGCTACTGTAATATTTCATACAGTCTAACATAATTATTCTTTCAAAGCTGGTGGCTATGTTGGATGAAAGAATCGTCGAAGGTTAACATAAAAATTGATTATTTAAGCAAAAGTCCTGTCAAACCAATTAAATTCCTAACCAGTGTATTCATACTAAACTCTACGGATGATTCTGATTAATAAGTATCAATAGCTTTACAAGACCGACGACTGCACAGGAGAAGACATATGCACAGACGAACTGCCAAATGAAGATGGAGGACTGACACTAAATTGTGACATTAGCTCACAACAAGGTGAGCTTACGGGATCCCAAGTCTGAATTTATTAGAAAATAAAATACGATATTTTTAGATGTTACCATGTATTTCAAAAAAGAAATAATAATATTTGAACCAAATGAAACTTAAGATTTACTTTGTCAGTACCGTAGGCGATATTCTCGTTGTATAAATTTGACTGTGGTAAAATATAGGGTATGTTCAGTACACTGTACAAAAGAGAAATTAGTTTTCAGTGAAAGAGAGAGCAATCAAACATTATATTTTAGTCTTAAGATACATGATTTTTTTATTAGTTATTATTGGCTTTAAACTAGATGTCAGTAACTGCGAGTACTCTCAGATCGTTACTTTGTCTTTTTACTGTTACGGATGTATAAATACCCTGCCACGTCCGGTCTGTGTTATTGTAAGATGTTTTTCTGCTTTGTATCGATCTGATGAGTTGAACCCTTTTCAACTGATTTTTATAGTTTGTTCTTATGTTGTGCTGTAACACCACTATCCCAGGTTAGGGGAGGGATGAGCGCTCACAAACATGTTTAACCCAACCACGTTCTTTAAGTGCATGTCCCAGGTCAGGAGCCTGTACTTCAGTGGTTGTCATTGGTTCATGTCTGTCATATTTGTTTTTCGTAAATTGTTTTCTAATAAACTAGGCCGTTAGTTTTCTCAATTGAATTGTTTCATATTTTTCATGTCGGGGCCTTTCAAATCCGACTACGGCATGGGGTTTTCTCATTCTTGAAGGCCGTACGGTTGCCTATGATTGCTAACGTCCATTTTATTTGAACTTTGGTGGATAGTTGTCTCGTTGGCAATCACATCTCCTTATTTTTATTACGCAATACAATAAGAAAAGAGAAAGTATCATATCAACACGACGAATCAATAGAAAGATATCTAGATATAAAAACGTTAAAAACCCTTGCAACAACTCTTTGAGGAGCCCGTAGGTGGCCTGTTGCAAGACAAACCTTCTTTCCCTATCCAATATACCCTCAATCTCCAGTGGCAGTCTAAATTTCCCCGACCTTCATCCTGCATGGCCTCTTTTACAGGAGCTACCTATTGTATTTATTGTTAATTAGTTCTCATCCTGAACATGCATGAAATATTTGTCACTTGACGTTAAGCAACCAACAATCAATCAATCAATCAATCAATCTAGATATAAAACAAGGGTCAACAATAATCGTGTGTCCACACTAAATACACGGCTGTAAATTGCCCCTACAATGTAGCCACTGATAGGTAAAATATATATAAGTGTTTGTCTTTGCCAGTAAAAAAGAAGCTTTTAACTTGCCATGGTCCTTATTCAAAAGGCATCATTCCCCTTCTATACTTATCTCCCTACTAATTTAAATTTAATTGTTTTCCATAATATGAACTTTATTTTTGGATATCATTATCAGGGGGAACTTGAAACAAGTTAACCTAATGACTTCCCATCAACATCTAAATATTAGCTTGACTGACCTATCTTTTTAGGTCATGTTTGTTTATCTGTTATAAAACGTTCAAAATTTGCAATTGTTGGTGATACCTGTATGCAGTTCTATTCACAGGTAATATATTTATGTTCTGTATATATTTTGATTTTAAGGGAACTTATTAAGCGTCATACTATATTCAAGTTTTTCTCTGAAGCTAGGATTTTGTTATAACGGTATCATTGCTTAACCTCAAACATATTAACAATTATCAAGTCGCATGTTCCAACAGTAATTAACTTTTTAAATCAAATTTTATGATACAATTTAGAGATCCAACATCGTGATACTATTAAATGTTTTTGTATGATTAATTCAGATGGAGTCCTGAGTATAGCACGTAAAATACGATATTTTGTTATATATCGAAATAATTACTTCGTCCGCTGGATATATGATTATTTCATCCCATTGGTGGATACAAGAGGAGGGGGTGATCCGGTGTTTTTTCTTTTTTCTGAGCGTTTCGTGGTGTTACGGGGGTTTGAACCTCCCCCTTTCAAAATAGCTGGATCCGCGCCTGCATCCCCTTGAGCTGTCGTTCGGACATCTTAAGCCAAGCAATCAAATCCAACATTGTTTTCCCCTCGGGCGTTTTTTTCATTTACTGCAGTATTGATCCAATTGTTTGCAATCTGCTACTCTGATTTTGATACGTGTGATTTTTACAAATAGATAAATTGAAGGCATTTTCTCTTTGCCTAGCAAAAACTGTAAACAAAGTGTCTTACCCTAAAACTAGATATTCATTGAACTACAAAAATGTGTGTAAATGTCTATGACATAGATTTTTTTGTAGAAGTATTCTAAATATCATATATACCTCATTTAGAAAAATGACGTATGCTGTTATTGTTATGTACAGGTGTATGTAATGATATAATTTGGATCGGTATTGTAAATAAATGTCTAAAAAAAGATCACATGAAGCGAGAACTATTCCTGGAAGTCCATATCGGTTACTTTATGATCGTATTACAGCTCCTGTGTGATCTAGATATTAAGTTCCTTGCTAAATCTAGATGTTGACATGTATATGCTCAAATCAGTCATCATTTTAGCAGTTCAGATTGTTAAATTAACCTTTAGAAGCCAATATTTGTTTTAACAAGCACAAGGCGAAACGTAGAGAAATAGCAGCTGACTCTTAAACAGTTAGAGATAACAATATCATAAGAAGGGGGTACTCATTGAAAACAGAGGGGGTTAAAATTTCAATAACTGTAAAACTATCAAAAGGAATGAAATGTAAAAAAATCGGAAATCCCTGCAACTCCATACTGTATCATATGCACTACTTTGAATACCTCAATGAGTTCCATAAATTTCGCCGTTTCAGAATCTGATACATTCTAGGCAATATTTTCAAAAGCGTATCCCAAAATGTTGTGATTTGTTTAAAACGTCCTAAACAATATGGAAATTCAACCAATGACGTAACATTATTTTAATTTCGGAGTACGAACAATGAGATTAACCATAGTCCTTTAGATTTTGAAACGACCATGACAGTGTTGTAATCCGCAGGCAAATTTGACGCACTTAATGCATTGGTGCCAGTTATACTACAAAAAAAAAACCAGGAATTACTCCTCACAATGGACAGTACAACAGACCAAACGTAGTGTGTCTAATAATGACGCTTGCGAGGGATTTTTATGTTTGATTTTAATTATTTCGTGCTAAATATGGTTCCTTAAAAGAAACTAAACTGTTCCGTGCTAAATGGTTCCTTAAAAGAAACTAATTTTTTCGTGCAATGGAATACTTATTTCAATAAAATTGCGAGACAATCAAATAATTATATATAGTAAAAGAATTAATATTGAATTTTTCGAGTGAACGAAATGATATGTTTCTCCCATGTCCATTACAAGATTCTTTCATTATATATTGACATAAAATAAGTAGATTTGGTATGATTGCCAATAAGATTAATATCCAGAGGGA